CACCCAAAGGGATCTTTATATACAAATTACAAGGTAGTTAAGGAGTTTAAGTAATAAATAAAATACACAGTAACCGAAGAGGCATCACACTACTCAAAGGGACAAGTAGCTAGAAACTCTAGAATATTCTACACTCCCCCTCAAGTTGGGAGATATATATTGATCATCCCCAACTTGCTAATTAAATCCTCAAAGATGGGTTTGTGTAATCCTTTGGTGAGAATGTCGGTTGTTTGCTCCTTGGTAGGTATATATGACAAACATACACTACCCTCCTCCAATTTTTCTTTGATAAAATGACGATCAACCTCCACATGTTTGGTTCTGTCATGATGTACAGGATTTTGAGCAATACTGACTGCAGCCTTATTATCACAATAGAGTCTCACAGGTAGAGAATAAGATATCTTTAATTCTCCAAGGAGCCTTCTTAACCAGATTCCTTCACAAATGCCATGGGCTAGCGCCCGAAATTCTGCTTTTGCACTGCTTCTGGCAACAACAGTTTGTTTCTTACTTCTCCAGGTCACAAGATTTCCCCAGACATAGGTACAATATCCTGAAGTGGATCTTCGGTCCATAGCAGAGCCAGCCCAATCAGCATCTGTATAGATTTCTATCATCCTCTTGTGTCCCCTTTTAAAGAGCATTCCTCGACCAGGGGTGTTTTTGAGGTACTTGAGGATTCTATAAACAGCACTAAGGTGTTTTTCCTTAGGAGAATGCATGAATTGGCTAACCATGCTAACTGCAAATGCAATATCAGGCCGAGTGTGAGATAAGTAGATCAGCTTCCCTACCAACCTTTGGTATTGCTCCCTGTCAACATCTTTTCCATCTTCAATTCCCAATTTAATATTGGGTTCAACTGGAGTTTCTGCAGGCTTGCACTCAAGCATACCTGTTTCTTGTAGCAGGTCTAGAATATATTTCTTCTAAGATAAGGAAATTCCCGCCTTGCTACGAGCAACTTCCATTCCAAGGAAATATTTGAGAGATCCAAGATCCTTTAGTTCAAACTGACTAGCTAAACCCCCTTTTAAAGATTTTATTTCCTCCCAGTCATCACCTGTGACAATTATGTCGTCAACATAAACAATGAGGATAGCAATTTTGCCACTATCGGAGTGTTTAAAAAATAAAGTGTGATCAGTCTGAGCTTGGATAAATCCTCTTTCTTTAACAACACGAGTAAACTTTTCAAACCACTCTCTAGGGGATTGTTTAAGTCCATAAAGAGATTTCTTCAACATGCATACTGAACCATCTCCCTGTTCAAAACCAGGTGGTGGATCCATGTAAACTTCCTCATGTAAGTCCCCATTTAAGAAAGCGTTCTTTACGTCCAATTGATGCAAGGGCCAATCAAGGTTGGCAGCAAGTGATAGTAAGACTCAGATAGAGTTAAGTTTGGCAACGGGAGCGAACGTCTCCTGATAGTCTATCCCATAAGTCTGAGTAAATCCTTTGGCAACCAATCTGGCCTTATATTTGTTGAAGTTGTTATCTGCATTAAATTTTATTGTGAACACCCATTTGCAACCTACAGTTTTCTTTCCTCTGGGAAGTGCCACGGACTCCCAAGTTCCATTTTTTTTAAGAGCATCCATTTCTTCAAAGACTGCATCCCTCCATTTAGGGTCATTAAGTGCCTCTTGGATAATTTTTGGTATTTTTGTACCGTCTAATATAGTGTTGAAAGCACGAAAACCTGGAGATAACTTTTCATATGAAATGTGATGAGAAATAGGATGAGCAGTGCAAGATCTAGTACCTTTTCGAAGGGCAATGGGCACATCTAGGTCAGTTGTACCAGTGTTCTCAAGTGGATTGCTGGAACTAGGACTCGGGTCAGAATCCTGGCAGTCTAGAGGATCTTGAGGAGATTTACGCCTGATGTAGAATTTTCCCCATTTACCGGGAGGATCTCCAGTCTTTGGTACAATTGCTATCCTTGTCTCCTGTACATTAACTCCCCCTGACTCCAAAGGTAAAGAAACAACAGATGTTTCCAAGGGTAAAGGTAAGACAGTAGAATTATTTGGATTCCAAGACTTGTCTTCATTTATACCAATAGACTCCCCCTGAAGAGAAGTCAAGGGAAAAAATGATTGTGTTTCACAAAAAGTAACATCCATAGAAACAAAGACCTTTCGAAGAGAAGGTGAGTAGCACTTGTAACCTTTTTGATTAGGAGGATATCCTATGAAGACACATTTAACAGACTTATGATCAAGTTTGGACCTTTGATGTGGAGGAATATGAACAAAAACCACGCAGCCAAACAACTTTAGAGGAAGGGAAGAGAGAGCCCGAAAGGAGGGAAAAGAGCGGGTAAGGCAAGATATGGGAGAATGAAAATTCAGGACGCGAGAGGGCATCCGATTGATGAGATATGAGGCAGTCAAGACAGCCTCCCCCACAGGTATTTAGGGACATGCATTGTAGACAAGAGGGCTCTAGCAACTTCAATGAGATGTCTATTTTTTCTTTCAGCCACCCCATTTTGTTGAGGGGTGTTAGGACAAGAACTTTGATGGATAATACCTTGCTTGGTTAGGTAATCACCAAGAACAGAATTAAAATATTCAGATACCATTGTCAGTTCGTAGGATTTGGATAGAGGTCTGGAATTGAGTTTGTACCATAGCATGAAAAATTTTAAAAGTGGCTGCAGCTTCAGACTTATCTTTTAGAAGATATACCCAGCATACTCTAGAATGATCATCAATGAAGGTAATAAACCAACGAGTTCCAGATATATTTTTTTCACGAGCTGGGCCCCAAATATCACTATGAATCAATGTAGATGGAGACGAAACATGATAATCTCTAGGGAAATAAGAAACACGAGAGTGTTTTGCAAACTGACAATCATCACAAAAAAAGGAACTTGGTTTTTTGTTGATAAATAAGTTTGGAAACAGCTTTTGAAGATAAAAGAAATTTGGGTGTCCTAAACGACGATGCCACAACAAAACATCATTACAATCGCCTGATAAACATAAAGAGTGATTTGCAAAAAATCTCTTTTCATGTGAATCTTCTTCAAAATAGTAAAGCCCTTCTTCCTCTCTAGCACTGCCAATCATCAGCCCCGAATCCTGTTCTTGAAAAACGCAGGTTTTGGCAGAGAATTTAGCAACACAATGCAATTCAGAGGAAAGTTTACTAATAGAGATAAGGTTACAAGTAAGAGAAGGGACATGAAGGACAGAATTCAGAGTAATATGTTCAGAGAGCTTAATGGATCCCTTTCCCGCAATATTAGAGAAACTACCATCAGCAGTCCTTATTCGTGACTGGTGATAATAAGGGGTATAAGAACAAAACAGGGATGCATTACCTGTCATATGATCAGAAGCTCCCGAATCAAGAATCCAACGACTACTATGATCAACATGGAATGTCATACCTTGTTGAGCAACATGACTAGTTGCCTCAGCAGATTGAGACATCACCTTCTGAAATTGCTCATAATTCTTACCGTTTAAACGGTGGTTAGTAATCTGTATAGCTGGGTTGTCTCCGGAAGACGAAGAACAGGGAAGAGGAAAGACACCGGATGATTTTTCAGAATGCTTATTCTCAGCCTCAATATTTTCAACTTCCATTGTTCAAAATAAAAAAAGCAAAAAAGGAACTCCAATCGTTCAGAACCGGAAAGTCACGAAGAGGAACCAACTAGACCCAGCAAGAAGAGTGCTCCAATCGTGATTTAAACCCCCAGAACAGGAAGAGGAAGGCCAGGCGAGCCGTTCTGTGAAAGCCGCGTGACAAACGGAGGCCGGCAGGGCGGCGCGTGGCTCACACGCGCCGGAGAGGCAGTTCTGCAGTGGCGGCGCGTGGCTGACTTTCCGGCGACGGGGCTGACGTGGGTCGACTCGGAAATGGCTTCTGAGTCCAATGGTGGCCTTGGTTTCGTGATTGGAGGGGTCCAGATATGGTTTCTGAGTTATTTTAATAAACAGTGAAAAATGGAAAACGGAAGGAAACGTGGAGGTTTACAAGATGACCACAGGATAACCTGCTCTTGATACCATGATGAAATATAAGACTGAAATGTATTTTTCATATATTGATTGACACCCAAAGGGATCTTTGTATACAGATTACAAGGTAGTTAAGGAGTTGAAGTAATAAATAAAATACACAGTAACCGAAGAGGCATCACACTACTCAAAGGGACAAGTAGCTAGAAACTCTAGAATATTCTACACAATTCAACCCAAAAGCTTAAGCTGTTGGGTGAGGCTACATTAATGGTTTTATATATCTCAACACACCCCCTTACACGAGAGCTCGCTGGGCTTGAAGGCTGGACAATGCACTGTGCGAAGAAAGAAATTCCACTAGAAAGAAAGTGGGGGGCGGTGAGGATCGAAGCCGATACACCGAGGCTCTGATACCATGTAAAGAACCAATTCAACCCAAAAGCTTAAGCTGTTGGGTGAGGCTACATTAATGGTTTTATATATCTCAACAACTTCTACCAAAACCATGAAAAATAATAATCAAAAACTGGTCCACAAAGCTAGGAGTTGGACACATCCAAATTTCGCCAAAAATGTCTAATAAAGAATACCGTAAAGAGACTACAGCAGCACAATGTCAGAGTACATGAGGAACAGATTTTGAGCAAGCTTCACACATTACACACATAACAGGAGAAAAAACTTTATGTGGCCATCTACAACATGTCAATTAGTATTAATTCTGATTATAGCAATCCAGATAAAGGACTTGATCTTAGAGGGAGCTTTGGATTTCCACAAGGCCATATCAAGAAGAAAAGTTTCCCTATTCAAGGGGTTTATCAAAATTTAGAAACTTAGAATCTAAAAAACAGTAAGACATATAAACAGCATAACTCACTTAAGAGTAGGCAAATATTTCTAAGAACTTAGTGTCAACCACCCCCATATATCTACGTACAAGTGTGTGTGCATGCATATTACGCGCATGAGCATATCTACATGTTAAGGAAGAGAATGCTTTACCTCTCAACCATCATGACAAATAGAGAATTATTTTGTCGAGCCCGCCCCCTTGACTGGACATAACTACGAACTGTCTTGGGCAGATCAAAACGTATGACACAGGAGCATTTTGGCACATGAATTCCTTCCTCAACAACATCAGTGGCAAATAGTATATTGACCTATATAGAAAGCTTATTCAACAGAATCTGTCTATCAAATATTAATATTTATTTGATAGATATGCTATATATAATACCTTTCCACTGGAAAACAGATGTAAGATTTCTTTCTGCACCTTTGGTGCCACCGAATCAGTCGATGTATTGCTCCCAGTCAAATATGAGACTGTAAAATGGGACAAGAACTTAACCTTCTTCACAAATCTGTCAATGACTTTAGCTGTAACAATTCTTTCAACAAATACAAGGCATAGAACATCCTTGCTTTCTCTGTATCAAAAAGATGATAGTTAATTTCCATACAACCAATGTTGAAAAAGGTTAAGTACATAACTTACCCAAATGATTTAAGGATTTGTATTAGTTCATATAATTTTGGAGACATATATCCCAATTCTACTGCATTTGAAAGGTCAAGACCGAAGTCTCCAGAGTTGGTATCATCTGAGCAGAAAGAAAAAAAAGAAAAAATCAGAACACAAAGGATACGTGATATGTAAAATGCATCAACAACATTAAAAGAAGGGAAAAATGTTTCTGCAATTAATGCAGATAAATTATCTGCATTTATTTCCAAAACGATGTCGTTTTGGTATTGAAATCTTAAAATATTATAAATATAAAGACTATTATAACTCTGAAATAAATTAAAATTACAAAAACATCATGATTTCTGTCCCAAAACGACGTCGTATTGGGTTTACTGCAGATAACTTATCTGCAGTAACTGCAAAAAAAGTGAACCCTTAAAAGAATTTCAGCAACTGCTGTTTCAAAAGGATTAAGCTATAAGAGAAAGAATGTAATAAGTTTTTCTTTCCTTTTAGGTAAGTAAAGATATTATAAGAAAAGAAAATTTAAAAAGCATATGAAATCCATGTTGTCAAATTGGAAACTCCTATGAGGGAATATATGAAATAGGGAACTACAGAAGCCCAGATGATATTTCACAAATTACTGAATCTCTGTTACATTGGAAACATATAATTAGTATTAAATAGTAATTATAATACGAGGCACAACTGCGAGTATGTATTAGATGGACAGTGCAGATGACATCAACTACACAACTGCAAGTATGCTACTCAAACTTAGCTGAACCAGATACCAAAATCCTTCAGTAAAAATGGTTAATTTATGCATTAGATTAAACATCATCCCAAAGCACTAAATTGTCATATATTTTCTAAATTTGTAGGCATATATGGGAATGCATTGAAAAATTATATATATGAATCACAAATGATTAGTTTAAAAATAAAGAGCATTAGCTGATATAAGAAATTATATTATGCTATGAGCATTAAACAGAAAGCGACATACAAGCATACCAGTAGTAAAATAGGCTCCAATAAGTTGTAGCAATTCATTAAAGAAATGTGCATACTGCGAACAACCTTCGCTATTAAATTCACATTCCTGTTGGGGAAATGAGCTGTTCTCCAGACAGAATTTAGCAGCCTATAGAACAGATGAATAAAAATGTTACATGACAACCGCATCAGCAACTAAGAGGAAGATATAAAGATTTAAGAGAAAGCCTTGACTACATATTAGCGTTAATGTGACAACTAATAGCCATGTTATCAGAAGTGTTCATAAAAATAAGTAACTACTGAAGCATTCAGGATAGTATTAACAGATAAAGTTTTGTGGGATTAGTTTATTAGAAACGTAGTACTTAGTGAATCCAACGTGAAGGATATAAATGACATTATTATAGTTTTATTATCAATAAACGTACAAGTGTAAGGGTGGAATATATATGTATTTTCCTTCACTTTTTTCTCTATTCTGTCATACAAATTAACATAGTAACAATTGCTATGCATGGAGGAATAAGAAGTCTATGCATGCCGATTAGATACCATCTAAATCAAAAGGTTTCCGAAGTTGTGGCCAATCATGTATATATCTCTTGTTAATTTGTGGAAGGTCTTCACAACTACACGTGCAGAATAACAGGTCTCTTCTCGTGATAAATAAAAAAGATCAGACACAAAACAAACCAATAAAGACTGTATATTTTGTATATGCATAGTTAAAACTTTTATTCCAGTGACTTTTTTAAATGGCCTGAATTTAGTTGATCCTAAGAAAATTAGTAGTAACCTTCCACCATGGTGAATACTACCTGAAACTTCTGTGACTTGGACTTTACCAAAAAAGAGAGCATAAAGGTATCAAAATAATAATATTCTCTTTCAGATGTACTTGCTCTCCAAGGAGTATAAGCATACCTCATAAGCACACACAAGGCCAAGATCATCAAGACAATACAAAATCTTTGAATAGTCGTTGAATAATCGCTTCTGCATTTTCTCAAGTTTATGACGAATGTCTTTGTATTGACATTCCACTAACTGTTGCAGTCTCAGCAATGAAGCATCGAACTGGTAAAACAAAAAAAGTTCCCACTATCCTTTCATGTTCAACGGAATATAGATTGAAAATGATAATAATATTTTGCTTGTGTCAGTATGTACACATGGGTGTTTCCGTCTGCATGCGGAAACATGTGTACTACAGTCATAGACTACCTGAGACCATAAACCTTCCATCTTTAATTTCAAATCCTTGCTGAGAAATTGTGCTTCATTATAGAACCTACAAGTTTCCATAGCAGAAGGCACACATAGTTCCAACTCTGTCCTATCTTTAATAGCATAAATCTGCAACAAAATATTTTAGAATTTCACAAACCATCAACCAGATTTGAAATCTAGATGATGTAAAGACTGAAGTAAATAAACATTACCTGAGAATCTAAAATGCTTTCAAGACTAGATATCTGACCATTGCAGTCCATAGCGGATGAAATAACTGATGGAAAATGTTGAATTTTAGAATCCATATAACACTTCAAACTAATATAGTATAATGCACTGGCTAAGGCAAAGTTCTCATAGAGGCTTCATGCAATACTTATTCAATTTTATTATCACAAGTCAACATATATATATGATATATCGACATACACACACAAAAATTTTTGTTTCTTTTCCTCCTTTCCAGATATTATTATTGTATTACCTTGGCAAATTAAAGACAATCCCTTACACACTTACTTGAGAAATTATCTAGATATGCGTACATCACAGAGATGCTATGAGCATAAAGGATAACGATAGAGTGAAAACTTGAGAAATAAAGGATATAAATGCAATTTTGGGCCTTCCGTGTTTGAAAACTTCATTTCATCCACTTTTTCCCCAAAAAACTAATTATTACCCTTTCCAACTACTGGTGATGCTGTCATTCCAAAAATCTTTGGCTTGTTACTAGATGTGTGATAAAATTCCTTCACAGAAAAAGATTATGTTAATGAGCCCCCTTATAACAATAAGAAGTTCAAAGATAGTGAAAAACAACTGCAATAAACAAGCAGAAATATTTTGCTACAAAATCTGTTATTTAACCTTCATTATTTTAACATAAGGATGGTTCCCACTTGCACGATGGCATTCATCAATAACCAGCAAGCTGACTCTTTTCATATTGAAGAATGCCTTTCTGAGGCCATCCAAGAGAATTTGTGGTGTCATGACCATTACCTGTATGATTGCAAGAAAATGGATGTACTAATAACACCTAGCAATATTCTAACAGAGCATTATATATATATATATATATATATATATCAACACAAAGAAGTACTTATGAGTATCCATCAACAGTGATAACTTCATGTAATCAACTGACTGAAGGAATGAGAGACACAGAAGAAAACATTTTCAAGAAGAATAAGACTAAGCTATTTCACTAAACTTGATTCACCTTTTCCATATGCTTAATTAGTCCATAAACAACTTCACTGCGACTTTGCCCTGATTCTTCAGTATTCTCTTTTCTGCTACTAATCAATACATTCTCTTTTCTACTTAGTTTCTTTTTGCTCTGATTCTCTTTTTGTAATTGATTAGTAGCAGAGGATACTGAAAAATTAGAACAAAGTCACAGTGACGTTGTTTATGGACTAATAAACACACCCAAAAATATTGGCATATAACTAGTCTTTATTATCACTAATTTTCAACTGATTAAAAAGCAAGCTTACATCATGTTCTTCAATTTCCTTCTCCCAGCAACTTGAATTCCAGTCATCTATTCCCTTGGCCCCATAGTATTCTTCCACTGCCAGATCTGTGCAGTCCCTGATAACCTCGAATTGCTGCAGTTACAAGGATCACTAGCTCAATATCTTTGTACCATAAAATGCTAAAAATATTAATTCCCTTCATTCTTTTGTTAATAATGAAAAGAAGAATGGTTTAAGGATCATATAGTTAACAATGATGAAAAAAAAAGAGTTCATGCCTGATTAACAAGATGGACAGTGGGAGCCAAGAAAACAATCAATTTCTTTTGATCAGTAGATTTGATAAATTTGCCAATGTGTCTAATAAGCATCACTGCTATCATTGTCTTTCCAGCACCAGTATCCAGCACTGCAATAGTATTCCTCTGCACTGCAACTTCAAAAACTTCAGATTGATACCTGTAAGAAACACAAACAAGAAAATTTACAACATTCAATTTTTATATTCTCCACCATAATTAAATAAATAAATAAAAAAGTAAAGAGAAAATTAACACCTTCTTGGATTGAAGCTTTTGGGATTACAGGAACATTGTGACAAAGGAACATTCGTCGTGTCAGGATTGGGAGTCATTGGATTAAAGCTTGTCTTGTTGGGAGAAGTTTGTTGTGTGCACTGCATCAAATTTGTATTCATGGAAGAAAAAAAAAAATCTCAAACCTATTGTGATAAATGTACTTAAATGCTATTATAGAGTTCAGTGAGAAAGTCATGGAAAGTGAGGGAAAATCAGAGAAAGAGTGTAGAAGAAGGTTCTGGAGCAAGATGATGATGACTCAGTAGTGATTCATTCATCTAATAAAACTACTAAACTGAAATTAGTTAAATATCCTAACAACTTATGAGAAAAGCTTTACTGTACCCAGGAGTAAACTGAATTAATACACCACTAACATCAATGTCGGTTTCTACTTTCTAACCCCACCTAAACTTTCTCTTACTAAAGTTGCATTAAGAAAGGCCAAAAAAGTGAGGGAAACAAAAACTACAACATTTTTTTAATGATTTAATTCCTACATAAATGATATAAGTAGTTTAACGATAACGGAGACTGATAGAAAAAGATAAGCAATGAGATAGGTAACAGGAGACAGAAATGATGTAGGTAATTGAGATTCTGATCTAACCGTTTTGGAGAGCAATAGGTAAGATTAGATAGTAGAATAACATATGGCTTCGTTAAAAGAAAAAAGGGTTTTAAGGGAAAAAAATGGAAACTTCAAAATTGGAGAAGAAAGTATTGACTTGGGTAATACTGTAATTGCAGAGCAGAAACAGAAAAGCAGCCTCATTCCCATTGCATGGCAGAACGTAGGAAGCGTGATTTCTGACACTGTTAAGAGAATGAGAGTTCAAACCTCTGTCGAGTTTAGAGAAATCATTTGTCTTGTTGAATTGGATTTAGAAGAACGACAAATAAAAATAAATAAATAAATAGAAAAACGAAGAATTGGACTCAGAATTACAAAATAGGTTTTATATATGTGATGTTCCAGAAACTTGTAGGGTCATGTTACTCTAAAAAAAATGATCTCACTTTGTGTTTTTTTTTTTTCTTCTTTTTTTAGTAGGACCCACATCAAATGTATTAAAGTATGACACTAAAAGTTTCTTAGAAATATATAAAACCTTTACAAAATATAATAAATAAAAACATAGGATTTGGAACGTAAAGTGTGGCTCTCAATTTTAATTTTATCATTATGTAAAAAAATAAAAAATTAATTAATTTAGTCGTTACACATGCTACTGTTTACAACGTTATTTTCGTCCTGTGATATTGTTTTAGAGAAATTATTTTATAATATTGTTGGAGATTACTTTATTATGATATGAAGTATTGAAGTTTATGTTATTTTCTATTTATTTTTTATTTTTTAATAAATGATGACCTCCACCACTTGTAATATCCATGACACGAGAAATGTTTTCCATGTGACATGTAGGGGTGTTAACGGGCTGAACCGAGCTTTGTTCTTAAAATGCTAAGTTTGTTACCTGTTATAAATATAATTATCGGCCTGTGACATGACTTATTTACAAAAAAATAAAAGTCTAGTTTAGTCTGTTTAAAAAAAAAAATTAAGACAACAAAAATTTATCCAAACAAAATATACAATCAACAACACTAATAATTTCATAAATATTCATAAATTCAATAAATATCCAAATAACATAATATAGAACAAAATCATTCAAAAACTCTGTTTAACCAATAAAATGGGGTGAAAAGGATTGAGGAGAAAGAGAGGACTATTACAAGTAATATAAAAAATATAAAATAAAAATAAAAGATAATATACTAGGCCAGCCTGAGAGGCTTTATGGCCGAACTTTTGAATTGGAGCCTGAGGCATTTTTATTAAACGAGCTTTTATATAAGTTCAAACCTGATGCCAACAATCAATTTTAGACATGTAAACTCAAATCTTCACGAGTCGAGTCAAAATTTCCTAGTTCGTTTAGCACCCCTAGTGACATGACAAAAGATAAGCTTATTATTTTAACCATTAGAATTGCATGATATTATTATGAAGCATCCGTTCCGGTACGTAGACTAAATGATACAATGCAAGCAAAAGTTCCTAGATTCATGGAGATATAGAACAACATATAAGTTATCATGCTTGCATATCCACCATTTGAGTCTCCAACAATTATTCCAATAATTACATATCCGATTTGACCTATGGACGAATACGCAAGCATACGTTTCATGCTTGTTTGGGTAATAGCAATGAGATTCCCCAATATCATGCTAAGAATAGCTAGGATTTCCAGAAGAAGATGCCATTATGGGGTTTGTGAATAAGTGATTGTCTGATAATGAGCAAGAAATATACGTCTTTCTGCTAAACAGGATGTATTCAGCTCATAATTCATTAGATACTTTTTATGAATGTCAACTAAGTATCGTAAGTAAATTGCTCCCGGTCTATCGGATTTTTGTTCAAGAATGAAATCTTATTGGAACCGTCCAATTCATCCTTTAAAAACGACTTTTCAGTATTTTTGGTCCTTGCATGGAATACTCTCTTTTTTTTGAAGAAGAAAATAAATAAATAAAAAATGAGTTTCCAAGTTGTATAAAAAAATACTCATTTCTTATTTTGTCAATGCACTTCATTGCATTATAACTCCAAGTTGTATATGTCCTCAGCCAAAAATGTAAAATTCAATATTGATGCCCCTTTTGCGGCGCGCGAGTTTTAGGAATGATGTGACAAACTCCACGGTGTCTTTCCTTGAAGGTGCTTTTAGGTTTTAAGGTAGCTTCAAGTAACCATCAAAACTAAAGAAATTGTAACACTTTAAAGGAATTCAGTTCATTCATTAGTTTTGTTTCTTTCATGTGCTTTTGGTGATAGATTTGCAAGCTTAAGACCATAATAATAATATATATTGAAAAGAGTCACTTCAATATGATTATGCATTTAACCAAAATCTAACGTTCAATACTAATTTTTAATTATATATATATATAAAGAAGTATAATATTGTAAGAAAGTGTTTAGATTTTGTTATAGACATAGAAATTGTAGGACCCACACTTGTTTTTAAAAATCAAAAAAATAAAAAAGTGTGGGTCTCACAATCTCTATCTCTATAACATAACTTAAACACTTTCCTACAACATTATATTTCCATTTTCCATACATATATATATATATATATATATATATATATATATATATATATAGAGAGAGGGAGGGAGGTAGGATCCTTTGATACCGGTGTCAATTTGAAATTTAACACCTCATCTGAGAGCCATTAGATCAAAAAATATCAGCGACTCTGATTTCTAAGATATAGTTATAAACAAAAATAGGTTGACACCGTTGTCACATGCTTAGAAATCAGAATCGTAGATCTTTTTTATCTAATGGCTATCAGATAAGGTGTCAAATTTCAAATTTGATACTGGTGTCAAATGATCCTACTTCTCTCTCTCTCTCTCTCTCTCTCTCTCTCTCTCTCTCTCTCTCTCTCTCTCTCTCTCTCTCTCTCTCTCTCTCTATATATATATATATATATATATATATAAAGGTTATACTTATAACCTATTTTTTTGTTTTCAACCATATATATAACGGTTATTATTTATTACGAATTAATAATTAATAAATTTAATTTGTGAAAATAATAACCGTTGATTGACAAAAATCAATAATTAAGATATGGTTGTAAAAAGTTATAAACAAAAATAGGTCGTAAGTATAACCTTCTTTATATATATATATATATATATATATATTAATTTTCCAATATATACATGTATGCTAAACATTAATTTGCAATTACATGCATGCATGTTAAACGTTAATTTATGCCAATAATAATAATAATAATAATAATAATAAGAACTTCGTTAAAAATTTGACAACGATCACTTTAAAAGAGAGAAAATATCAACAAATATCACTTAGAAACTCAGATAAATATCAATTAGATATAAGTATGTTAAATGAAAAATATTTGTCTCATAAACGGGGATGGTTTTTCGTTGCCTTGGTTTTTCATTGCTCTGAAGAGTGTGGTGATGAAATACTTAAAAGGTGCTGTAACACGCAAGTTAGTGTTAGTGTGTGAATAAGAAGGATATAAGGAGTAAAGGTTAAAATAAAAAGAGAACATAATATGAATCAAGCTGATGCCTATAGAAATGATGAAGATAACATGTTACCCATGTGTTGAGCTCTGATAAGATAGCTTGAACGAGCTATAGTTGAGACTGAGGGTGATCGATTGAGAACCCCCAAAAATTTTTTATTAAATTTGCATAAAAATACAATTGTAATCGAAATGATATAATACGTTGAAGGAAGAAAATATAAAAGACAACTATATGTTGAATAATTTTATATTTCATTTCATACTTCCTCGATGCCATGATTAAAATATCTAACAAAGGCTTATGAGGCCATATACAAGTAATCAAATTATTAACAAGCAATAGATGATTTTTTGCACACCAAGCTATCCTAAGTTGGTGGTGTTCCACGTAGTCCACTAAGCCCAACTAGCTTGTGTTTTTGGTATTCCTCAGTTGGTGGCATTGTGTAATCTTGGTCACGCTTTGAGATCTCTTTGCTCCCAAGTGTAACGTGGCATACTTTTTTTATGCCCAGATCAATATATAACATAAGTGTATACACTTTGTAAAGGGTAAGAGTGGTAACTCAAAAAAGCATGTTTGACATTTTTTTTAAAATCAAAAGTTATTTTTAGGCTAAAATTAAAAAAAAAAAAATATTAAAACGTAAAACTAAAAAAAAAACTATTTAGTGATTATATAAAATTTTAATGATTTTTTCTGGGTTTTAAAGAAGAAACATAGAATGATTTGTCATTAAAGTAAATTATTAAGATAAACGAAAAATAAAATAAGAATAAAAAAAATTAAAATAAGTACCCAAAACCTGATATACATGAGCTTTTAACTTTTTTCCCTTTTTATTTATTATAAGAAAAAGATCTTTTTATGATAAGAGCTTTTATAAAAATATGTTTAACTAAACTTTTCCTTAAAAAAAAAAAAAAATCTATTAAACATACACAGAGCATAATGAAGAAAGATATTTTATATTCCAATGGCAGATCAAGTGCTAATATCCTATAATGCACCGACACCGACACGGGACACGCCACGCCGATATATTAATTTTAAAAAATGTCACATTTCCACACGCTGAGACACGTTTTGATATGAAATAAAAATTTTAATATATAATATAATTTATATTTAATACATATAAGAGTCCATAATAAGTCATATAATCAATCAAATATTTAAATTTCATAACATAAATAAAAATAAAAATAATTTTTTGTACTTTGTTAATTTTTTATGTCAAATTTCATAATAGAAAAAAATTAATTTATAAATTAATTTTTTTATATTTAGTTAATAAAATAAAATTAAGATTAAAAAAAAACGTGTCTGAACGTTGACCGCGTGTCCAAAAAAGTTGACTGTGTGCCGGACAAACATGTCAGAGAGTTGACCACGTGTCCCCAACTATTGACCCTCGTGTTGAAATGTGTCCATGTCGACACACAAATTTTTCAAAATTTGCATGTCCGTGCTTGCTTGGTGATATCTATCCATTCTATTACATAAGACATTTTCTAAAAATTGGGTTGCGGAAGATGCTGATGCTTAAAGGTGAGATGTTCGGATGATAGGATCCGAAGAAAAACATCACCTTGTCCTTCACATAATAAATTATGCCACAATGATAAAATGAATAGATATTTTTAATACGTTAGTGAATCCTTTATCTCAAAACTTACCCATTGAACTTGAAAAGATGTGGCACTTACCATAATAGGCCCAAATAAATCAGGTTTCCCAGGTAGCACCAAATATAATAAGCATAATACTATTACTTTAACAACATTTATTAGTACTTGAAACAGCATTTAAATCTTTTAACTGCTAAAGATAGCATTTATCCTGCAATTAGGGAATTCTAATGTGGTTGTGAGAGGAAGATGTTAACAGGTCCTGCCAAAGGAGGAACCATACAATTCATTCTTATCATACTGAATAGACCAGTTTCCTGTTCTTGCAGATATCGAAGCAAAACATCATTATCTTTCAATACAACATAGAAAGCACTTCCTCGCACGTGGTAACATAAATAAAAAGGGCACTTAACAATATCATCTTCTGCAATGAAGAAAACTGGTGACAAGTTCTAGCAATCTATCAGAACACGACCCCAGTAATAGAGGAATACAAAGCATCAACTCCTGAAGGACAAGATTAAAAAAAAAAAAAAAGGAGAAATGCATAACCATTTGGAACTAAAAATTATACTGCTTCTTGATACACAAGGAAATAAGATAAGCTCTGACTAGTTGCACTTCAGAAACTTAAAATTGGTTACGAACTTGCAATATTAAAGTATTTCAACAATTGCAGATGGTGGTGCCGACATAATAAACACACCATTGGCCGGTTCATACATCAGAACTCGTATTCACAAAACTTTGAATTGGCTTTTGCTCATTAAAATGATAGCTATCCCAATCATCTAACAGGGTAAAAATACATTCACTAATCTAGTAGAACAAAAAGAAAAGTGTTCCTCTGCACACGGGCAGAAAGAACAAGACAAAGAAGAGACGACCCTGTACACATAACTCTATATTCGTCTCTTCCCAAAAAGGAAAATGGGAGAAAACCCTCTAAGAGCAGTGGTAATATACAAGATTTTTGGAACAAGAATAAAGTTAAGAATTGATGCCTACCAATGTAATTTTTGTTAATCTTTTAACAGTACCTGCAGATAACAATGGATACCTGGCTCCGTATTCCAATGCCCTCATGAATGTGACCAGCTTCGTCTGCACAAAACCCAAAACTTAATTGAGACCTTTCTTTAATTATAAATTCTACCAAGAATAAAATAGATAAATGCACCCAGAAAGGAATAATCAAAAGCCCAGATTCACACTTCAGACAAATCTGATGCACCATTGTTAAGAATCCTGGAACTTAAGCAATACCCATTATTTAGAAAGAGCATATTTCATAAATGGATATTCTCTAGGAGAAAACTAGAAGGGTTTATCACACCCAGGATACATGTCAGCCAAGAGAAAAATTATTTGCATAGATCTAAAATATACCATAGTCAGTTGCATACACACCATAGAAAATTGAAAGCAACGCTATGCAGCTGTCATGCCTGTGTCAACTATTCCACATAAAAATTATTTCCTGTGTTTGTATTTCAAGTTCTTATAAATAATTAATGAGTTTAATGTTTCTCATATTGTAGGAGATATATTTATCTCCTACATACATATAAAAGTGTATGGGGCCATGTTTTCTCCTTCTCCGTCTTCTACTCACACGAGCACACATGGGCCCCACACACTTTTATGTATGTGTAGGAGATAAATTCATCTACTATAACATGAGAGACATTCAACCCTTAATTAGTACATCAACATCAATAACACATTTATCCCAAACTAGGTGGTACATGAACCCAAATAAAAGGTACGAAAAATTTGAGAAAAAGATAAAAATAATATATATATAAAGCAGTAGAAAATTAAAAGAAAAAATAATAATAAAAATAAAGATATGTAGGAGGACAAAAAAGAATAAGAAAGTAGGAAATAAAAAATAAAAGGAATATAGGGGAAAAGAAAAAGAAAAAGAAAAACACATAAATAAATAAATAAGAGAAAAAAGATTGAAAGGAAGAAAGAAATAAAAGAAAAGGAAAAAAAAAAGAGGGAGATAAAGAGGAAAAGGATTTGAAATGGACCATCTAGAACATAGGAATAAAAATGGGTCTAACCCTTCTCCATGCTTATAGCTTTTCTCCAATGCGTCCCTAAGACACACAGTCTGCCAATCTATATCTTACTCCATTAAGTCTTGTTTTACTACCTTCCCCCAAGTAAGTTTCGGTCTACCTCTATCTCTCTTTGTATCAAGCTCTTGATAACAAACTTTTGTTCTTACGGAATCATCCAAGGGCCTTCTCATTATGTACCCAAATCACCTCAATCTATGTTCTCTCATCTTTTCAACTACCGGTACTACTCCTATCTTTTGTCGAATATCTTCATTTCTTATCTTATACATCCTTGTATAATCACACATTCACCTTAACATTCTCATTTCCGTTACTCTCATTTTACGCTCATGTTACCTATATACAGGCCAACATTCAGCTCCATTAAACCCTTAATTAATACATATAAAAGAATTCTTGCATCTTAGCATATACCATTAATCAGTTTAAATATCCATATCTCTTGATTAAAATACGGAAAAACATGTTGGTAAGCAGATACATGGAGGAGAATCTGAAGTTAAATATAAAAGGGTCTGCTATGTTTAAAATTAGAAAGAATTTATATTCCTGGTTCTAGGTTGCCTGCTAGAATGATACCTAGCTCCCTGCTTCTATTCATATATGCACATCCATCAAATATCAGCTGTTATTAGAGCCGTGGAAAGACATAAAGCAGAAATGGACGAGTTATTTCATATGCTTGAAGATGTGACACATGCAATAAATGATATGAATACAAACAGAAACATGGGGCCTATATAGAACTGGAACGGAAACAACCCTTTAGGTGTAGGGGAAGAAACCATTACAAATTTGAATTATTTTCCAATCGAGAATGTCTGTCATGATCATATTGAAGAGGACAATCAAGCTAAAATAGTTGAGAATAAAGAAAAGGTTGATTAATAGATATTTGAATAGAACTAGTTTTAATTGAAAAGTTCAGTCAATAAATTGTTTTCAGTTGATCGATCAAGAAAACATCAAAATAGAAGACAATGAGGACCAGAAAATTAATTGAAGTGTATTTTCCATGTAACTTTTTTTGGGGAAAACGGGATTTTCAACCCCATTAACTTTCCAAATTTTCAGGGTTACAAAGCCTTGATTTCATTTGGATATATCTGTTCTGTTCTGTTCCATTTAGATTCCATTCAAAAATCAGTTGATCACATAAATCAAAGATGCATGCCAAATGGAACAAGGCTTGGTGGTTGTTGTATTGAATTGGGTTATTTTAAGCCACTTTGAGGATATTGTATAAAATAGGAATTCCTAGAATATTTTTCACCTAAAGTGAGGTTTACCATGTCTAAAACGATATACAAACTGACATTTTACTTATGATTTTTTTACGAAAGATAATATTATATTGAAAACAGCAAAGGAAAAGTTAACCTCCTTAAAGACAAATACTATTCCAAGGATTCCAATAAAGTTTTTATTCGAAGGATTTTCCTTGTAAAGTCCAGGGTTTCTACCTACTGTAGGTAACTAGCGTTCTAGGTCATCTGCCAAAACCCACACCTAACCCCAACACCAATCAGCAGACACTTCAAATATTGCAGAAAAATAAAACTCAAAAAATAATGCCACAGTTGACAAAGTGAATATCAACTCCTCATATTACAATTGATATTGCGGAAAAAGCTTTTCACTAACATCATCACTTAAGAAAATCCCAAAATATAAATGTTTCATATGCCTCTTGTGTAAAACACACATGACTTTTATATACAAAGGCAAAACAGAAAATAAAAATACCTGTACACTGCTGACAAAAGGGCATATAAATTCCAATCCTGATAGAACCGAGCACACTCACAACTGCTCCATCCATTAGAAGTCATCATTCCACTTTAGAATTAGGTGGACGAATAAGCAAATTGTTCTGCCCTGGTTGTACATTTTGAATTTGTTGCTGGGATTGATGCTGCAAAGCCACGTCTTTGGGAGAATGCTGTTCCTGCTCCTGTTGCTGCTGCTGCTGTTGTTCTGGTGTCTGGTATGACTGTTGAGATATGCTGGGTTGTGATGAAGACTGTTGTTGAAGAGGCAGTGGCTGCTGCTGCCACTGCGCCCCAGAATTATGTGCATGTGAAGGCAAGCTAGCTGATAACTGTCGTGGGCCCATCCCTTGAGTAATAATTGGTGCCTCATTTCCAGCTGAATTTCCAACAGGTGTGCTCCCCAAAGAGCATGCTTGAGTAACTGGATTGGGTATATTGGAATCAAATGGTGGTTCTGATGTTTTCCACTGAGAAGACACAGTAGGAACAACATTTGGCGCACTACCCAAACCCATACAACCCTGAGGCATTGCAGTGCTTGTACTGACTTGAGAAGCACTGTTTGCAGGCTGTGGATCAACTTTAGGTGAATCAGAGTGTGACAAGCTTGATAATCCAGAATGCACCTGACAGTTTTGTGGCAACATTCTCTGAACATTAGATTGAGTTCGATTAATTTGCTTAGACTGTGGCTGAGATTGCAGCTGCAGTTGATGTTGGTTAGAAGCACCAACAGCTGCTTGTGAAGGTGACATTATATGACCTGAAGTAACCAATGAAACATGTCCTTGAATGCTACTGTCAGAAGGCGATACCACTGGCTGAAGTTGCTTTGATGAATTGTTTGTTGGATCAGTCTGTAGCTTCTGCTGCAACTGGGAATGATTTGAAGAATGAGCAGGACCCAACGGCTTGGATGTTTGATTTGGATTTAAACCAGTTCCGGGATATAAGTTTTGGCCCTGCATCATGTGAATGATTTGGTCCCCTTTCTCAACAGTTTGGCTTCCTGGAGGTACAGATAACCCATTCAGATGAGAAGGATCCACAGAGTTGTTCTGATGGATCAACATGTTTCCTCTTCCTATTCCCTTCACAAGCTTAGCCTGCTGTTGAGACTGTGCATTCTGCGGCTGATTAGGATGCTGCCTACCAGGCTGTTGATACTGACGCTGCTGTGGCTGTCGTTGTCGTTGCTTCACTGCTTGATTAGTCAGCCCACTAGCACCTGGATTCCTGCTGAACCCATGTTGTGGCAGGTGATGTTTCTGCTGTTGGTGCTGAGATGACACTGGATTCAAAGGGGATGATGGTGTTACAGGGGGAAGAGATACTTGCTGAGGTGAATTTTGCGGTTGTGCCTGGGAACTATTTTGCAGAGGTGATGATATGGGGAGTTGTGATTGTGCCTGAACATGTGGAACCAATGCATTTGACACGGCAAGCTGTTGCTGTTGTTGTTGGTGCTGGTGCTGCAGATATCGCTGCTGTTGCCTTTCCTTAGCCAATCGGATTGCATAAGCTTGCTGTGAATTTGTAGCATGATTCGGACCTTGAAGATGAGGATGGGGATTGCCGAGATGGGACTGTTGATGGGAGAGTTGATTTGGCTGCTGGGCATGGGCTTGCCCTGGGTATGGCTGAACAGGTGGTGGAGTTGTCTGATTATTGAAGGCAGAACTCATCCCACTAAAAGAAGGAATGCCTTGGTTGTTCCCTTGAGTGACCTGCATCGGAAGTTCCGGAACTATCATTTGCCTTTGATGTTCTTGATTATGGCCAGGCTAATGAGTGGGGGGAGAAAAATCATTAGAAGAAATAAAATAGAATCACCATAAATGTTACATTTTAAAAAGAGAAAACCAATCAAAATAAAACTAACTTGTTATAAACTTATTGCCTAACAAAGTCCAAGAGAGGCTATTGGAAACAAAGTAAATACTAGGATGCTGAGTTGGATGGATATTAAGTTTTCATATCCACCAGTGCAAATTACAACTCCACAATGTTACCTACAGAGCCAATTAAACCCAAGAGAGAATAAGAACACTTCTCACCCTCATCATATGTACAGTCTCACGAGGTCTCAACATTGAGTTGCCTTGTCCAGCACCAACTCCAGGGTGCATACTTACTGGACTTGACATCCCCGCCATACTAGAAGAAAGCATGCCCCCAGAACTGAGCATAGATGATGATGCCATTCCTTGAAAACCTGGTCTTGACATTGCAATGCCCCTGTTAATACCACTCATCATGCCCATACCATTTCCCCCAGGCAGCATGCGAACACCACGATCACTTCCCGAATGACATCCAGGAACAGGCATGCTAGACTGCTGCATGTTTCTGCCAGATATCATTTGATTATATTGTTGCATTCTCTGCTGTTCATCAACTGATAAAGGTGAAGTTCTAGGAACTCCATATCTACTATCCCTGAAAAAACATGCAATCCCCAACCATTAAAACAACCACTCCCAATAAACCCCGACTAACGACGATAGAGGTGAGGGCAATCCTTGTACAAAGCCTTAACTTTGCATATTTGCAAAGAGGCTATTTCCCGGATTCAAACCCGTAACCTTTCGGTCACAAAGGCGCAGCTTTAACACTACTCCAGGCTCGCCATCTTAACCCAGCCATAGAATAACTAAAATTTTTATGAATATATAATTGCACAGAAAGAAATGTGCACACCTGACAGAGGCTGCCATTGGACCAGACGGTGATGACAAGCTGTTGCCAAGACCCATACCAGAAGACGGTGGAATTGAAGGATTGAGCCCTGATGAAGGAAGTACTGACGCTAAAGAACCATGATTTGATAATGCTAAACCACCACCATGAGAACCTTGATACCCAAGGGATAGAACATCCGGGCTTGTTCCATTTGTATCACAAAAATCAAGCGGCCTTCAACCAGAACTCAAACATGATTAAGATACTTGTGCCAAGCAAAATAACAATGTACATCCAAAATGCAAAAATTACGAGGTAAACCTAACTATGGCTAAATGAGCAAACTAGGCAATTCAATAGTATTCATAGTTATAAAACTTCCTTGTTACCCAAAAAGATAAAATGAAATAGAACTTACGTCAAAACAACTCCATTCAAGTTGTTTGGAACGACTTGGGAAAGAGCAGCATTATGCGAACTATGGACAGGTGCTAAATGTTTTAAATCATGGTTATCCTTCTGCATTTAAGCAAAAAAATTTCTAATTAGTTATGTTATAGAAACTAAGCAGAAAAAGGGGCAGCTTAGTTTACTTTTTTAATTTTCTATTCCTACCACCCTGCTAATAGCTACACGCCGATAATATTCTTTAGAAATAATCACCAATCAGCAGTGTATGTCACTTATCAATAAGACTTTACCACACAAAATCAAAGGGTCAACTCCAAAAAGTTAGGTTAACAAAAAAGTTTTGCTCTTTGCTAGGCAATCACATGTTAAAATCAGAATAAGAATGTATGAAAAATAATGATTAAACGCCAAACTTCTTGTTAAATAACTACAGAGTATTTGAATAATCATACATGAAAGGTTATTTGAACTAAGATATAAAAAATAATCTTAAAATTAAAAGCTAAAACTGACGCAAGACCAAGAGATTTCTAAGATCATAGCAACAAGTTAGTTCTTGTACAATAATATAAGCCTGATGCTGTAATGCAATTGGATTTTAAAGTGATATTCATACAACTGCAAGCTTCCCTCAGTCCAAGTTGAATTAACCGATTTTTCATTAACCACACTAAAATTTATGAAGAGTAAAAATTCTCTAGTAATATCTCTAGTGATATGTTAGCTGATGTTAGCTAGTTGAACAGGTGCAGTACTACCGCACCTCCTAGAATAATATTGCTAGACCCTTGCAGCTAGGTAGATAAGCCTACGTGGCTTTCTGTTGCAACAACTGTTAACTGCTTCAACAGCTTCAGTTAAGTTCCGTTAGTTTCGATTAGTTGAAGATTGCTCTGCAAGTCATGGGTACCTCTATAAACACTGTTTCTGTGATTCAGAACAGAAAGACAGAAATTCTCAGTTTATCTCCTGTTCTTTCTTTTTCTCATATTTTCTCTTCAAATAGATTAAAATTCAACTGATCATTTAATTTAACCACTTGTGATTTGCACTACCCATTAACCATCTAACTTAATTCAGTTATACAAGTGGTTGACGTTGAATAGATACCACTTTTAAATGTCATAGCATATTACAATTCGCCTAATATGAATGCTTTTGACTCAAACCTGATTCTTGCGGTAACGTTGCTTGTGCCCAATCTTGATAATTATATCAAAATGAGACTTCAGGGTATCCTCCTCCATTGGCCCTTGCAAACGTTGAAACAACTGCCTGGCACTACCCTGCTAAAGATACAAAAAATTCTAACCAGTCAAAACTGCAAAACTTAGGTCAACAATGACGATCCACTAACATGTGAAAGCAAAATAAACAAAGAGAAATAATAAAACTATTCATGCCTTTGGAATTCCTGGTAGTGTAGATGGATAAGACTGAGAGGACCCTGAATCTTCAGCACTATCCGCACCATCCCCAGCATTTCTGTCCATTAAAAACTTGTGACGCTCCTTGCATTCTTTTGGCTTCCGAAATATACACTAGAAAAATTGCAAAATTGCATGCCTTCTGTTACAGATCCAAGAGAAAGATAGCCGAGAGATAAAGAGAAAATGAAAAAGAACCAGTGTTACAAGGTTCGCTCAAATCCCCTACATACTATGTTTGGGAACGTTCCCAGAATGATTCAAAAAATGAAAAATATTGCGGTGAGCATTCCAAACTTTAAAATAGTAGCAATAAAAACAAGCACAGTAGTAGGGGTGTCAAAATGGGTTGACAGTAGCATGTCTTAACAACACAATGAATGGCAAAACCTCCATGGCTGACAGTTGCAGAAATGATGGAAAGAGTAGGCAAGATGCAACCACTTGCAAAGGTGACAAAGAGGAGACGGGGTTGCCGGCTGGAATGTAGAAGATAAAAACCTAACCTAATGCCCAATTCTACAAAATGCAGAGTTTCATTTAGCTTCTTTCTTTCTTTCTTTCTTTGGTTGAAAGCTTCTTTCTTATCCAAAAAATTAAATCCTAATGTAGTACTCTTCTAATCTCTAAGGATGAATTAATAAGCTTCAAGGTTTAATATTTAAAATTTGGCAGGCCCATCCATACTGGAGATAAAACAGCTTAGAGTTTGAAACTTACATATAAAAGTTAGTGAGTTAACTTAAAAATATACTTTATAAAAAAAGGCAAGATATACTTACCACCACAAAAGTTTACCACCCTTACAACCAACCTAATCACCGTTGATTTCTATCAATCTAACGGTTATAACTTATTAGAAATTAATAATTAATTAATAAGAGCGACCCAATAATTCCCAATAAATTATAACCGTTAAATTGACAGAAATTAACGATGATTAGGTTGGTTGTAAGGGTGGTAAACTTTTGTGGTGGTAAGTATATTCTGCCCCTTATAAAAACATATGACAAGAAAAATAATAAAAAAGATATTATGGGCCATGGTTAGTTTTCTGAAATGGAACATTGGGCCTATTCATAATTTTTTTATCACTTAATAATATAGTCTGAAGTTCATGCAGCTATCCAAATTAGCGATCATCTTAAGTGTATCCTCCATTCCATGTACCCAAAAAGTTCTGTACAATGTACATGTACCCATACCAAACTGTACGTGATTTTTAATTGATTGACAAACAGAAAAAGCAGTGAATTCTCCCTCCCAGGGTTTCCCCTTTTACAAATGAGCTACTGCTTGGTTTCCCAATACTGAAAAATCTGAATGAACCCCTCCACTACTCTTTAAGCTAAGCACTAAGCCCCTGTTCTTGACAACTCTAACCACCTAACCAACTCCGTAACTACTTAACTGATTTTTCTTAATTTCCATTGTTCTCCTGTCCTGGGTACTATCAATGCCATTTCCTTGATGGTCAACCTTATCCCCAAGGTTGAAATTTGGGAGTCCTAATGCATGAGAATTCCTGCTGTTCACCTTCCCCCTGTGCTTCTCCCTCGGGGTATTTCATCTTAACAATCTACAAAGATCATAACCCTCATACTTTTTTCTAGGTATTAGTGTAACTTTTTGTTGAGATATAAAATTATTAATATAGCCTCACCCAACAGCTTAAGCTTTTGAGTTGAATTGGTTCTTTACATGGTATCAGAGCCTCAGTGTACCGGGTTCGATCCTCACCGCCCTCCACTTTCTTTCTAGTGGAATTTCTTTCTTCGCACAGGTAGGTGGGCCTGTGCATCGTCCACTCTTCAAGCCCAGTGGGCTTTCGTGTGAGGGGGCGTGTTGAGATATATAAAATTATTAATGTAGCCTCACCCAACAGCTTAAGCTTTCGGGTTGAATTGGTTCTTTACACTTTTACTGTTTTACCTCTAGCGCATTGTGTTGTGATACTCCTTAGTACATCAAATACTTACCTAATGGGTTGTTAGATTATAACAGTTTATGGTTCATTAGCCAGACTAGTTAGATTACTTAGTGACTCATTGCCGAGTCACCTTTGTGCTCTACAAATAGAGCATGTGTCAGAGCTCAATGTAGCTTCACTCTTCTTCACATGTAATAACATTCAGAACTTCTCTCTCATCATCTCACTGATTTCTCTCTTTGGCTTCACACTCTTTCTCCTTCTTGCCTTGCATGGATTCTTCTCTGAATCTCAATATGGCATCAGAGCCCTCCTTTTGAGAGGCATGAGCTCTTCAACCTCGATGGCATGATAAACTCTAGGGCTCGGCAACTAAGATCTGAGCTCAAATCTATAAAAAAGGGTTTGAAATCAGTAAAGGAGTATCACGCACAAATCAAGAACCCGTGTGACTCACTAAAGGCGATTGGAAACCCAATTTCAGCTGAAGAGTACACTATATTAATTCTGGAAAAGAAAAGCGTTTGTGATATTAGTCGCTGATCTTGGAATGGAACTAAAGGCACACGTGCAACTGCTTCTCAAACAAAAAGAGTCCCTGCTCTCATACAAAGCAAGGTGCAATTGAAGATGATACTCTATTCCACGGCCAAAAAAACAGAGGCGAACAGAACATACCTCAGAGAAATTTTGCCTCCTCTAATGGTCAAAACAAAGGTAGAGGACGAGTTGGAGGAATTGGAGGACATTCTAATCGTGGCATAGGGCATGGGAGCAAAGCCAACGTGCAATACCAATTGTGCTTCAAGACTGGTCACGATGTTAGCTCTTGCTAGCATCGTTATGATGAGAACATTGTTCCAACTTTACCACCACCACAAAACTCTCAATTCTTTAATCAACCACAACCACAACCACAGAATCAATGTCCCTATTAGTAGTACATCAGACACACCAATTCTCAATTGCAAGCTCTAATGACAACACAACCAAGACTTCTACCTACACCTAGCTCAGTCCCTGTAATTGAGTGGCTCTATAACTGAAGCGCATCAAGCCATGTCACTGGAGGAGCACAAAAATCTTATGCAAAGTCATCAACTCCCTAGCTCTGATCAAGTTCTTATAGGCAATGGTCAAGGTTTGCCAATAACAGCCATAGGCTCTTAAGATTTTCTTTCTACTATTGATTCTAGTACTCACTTACTCCTCTAGAATCTGCTCTTAGTTCCTTCTATTACAAAGAACCTACTTAGTGTCAGCAAATTTGCAAAAGAAAATGTTGTATTCTTTCAATTTCATCCTCACGTTTGTTTTGTCATATCATAGGATTCACATAAGGTTCTTCTCCAAGGCACCACTGAACCTAATGGCCTTAACCGATTCCCAAACATTCAGTTGGTAAAGTCAAGTACATCAATAGCAGCTCCTAATCCCGATAATGTGTACACTCAGCCTTTTACTAGTAGTTTAGTCTTTAGTTTGTATACAAATACCTTAGTAAATTGTATATTCAATAATGACTGTAGCTGGGTCCAAACTCCAAATTTAATTTCTTAGTGGCCCAAGAAACAGACCCCAGTTGTTGGGTCCATAGCTGAAGCAGAAATTATATGGATTAAATCTCTTTTTCGTGTCTTGCAGCTACCATCATCCACACCTTAAGTCTTTTGTGATAATTTGAGTGTCATTGCTTTGTCTCATAATTCGGTACTGCATGCCAAAACAAAGCACATGGAACTTGATCTTCATTTTGTTTGTGAACGGGTCCTTGCCAAAGAACTATGTCTCTCATGTCTCTGCTTCAGATCAAGTGGCATATACTCTCTCTAAGGCTCTCTCACCCATCAAGTTTGAAGATTGAAGACACAAACTTAGGGTCCTGTATTCTGCCCTGCAGCTCCAATCCCCTTAAGTTTGAGGGGTAGTAGTATAACTTTTACTATTTTACCTCTGTAATGCATTGTGTTATGATACTCCAGAGTACAACGGATACTTACCTAGTGGGTTGTTAGATTGTAACCATTTACGGTTTATTAGTTAGTGACTCAATGCTGAGTCATCTTCGTGCTCCACAAATAGAGCATGTGTCAGAGCTTAATGTAACTTTACTCTTTCTTCCAATGTAATCAAATCACATTTTCTCACCTTCTCTCTGATTTCTCTCTTTAGCTTCCCACTTATTCACCTTCTTGCCTTGCATGGCTTTTTCTCTGAATCTCAATAATAGGTACCTGATGAAACCAAATGGTTGGCCACACTGAAACATCTACCCTATTCCTTTCTTTGGATATTATTCCTGATATGGCAGCTGAATAGCTCCTCTTTCATGGTGGGTACACCTACTAGCACTGGAGTTCGTTGAATGTCATGGAGCTCTATTCCCCTATACATTGGTCTTAGTAATTGGTTGGGCCAATGGCATTATTGAACAGGCCTTGATCGTTGAATCAAGCTAGGTAGCCCCACTCAGGCTGCCACAATGGACCATTTGGAAACACCCAGGTTATGTTGTAAACTTGACCTTAAAGCATGATCTTGAGATCCCGAGAGGAGTTCAGTAGCACCAAGGCAGTCGAAATCGAGACATGTGTGTGTGGGCGCGCGTGTATATAAATATACACATAAATCACTAAAAAAATTTAGTGAAACATAAATTGAATCAGCATAAGACGATCACAATCACATAAATGGGCTGACTAGAGCAGTAGCATAACAAAACAGTAAAAAAATATGTATTAGAAATTACTATATATCTATATTATTACTGTTTTATAAATATCTATACTAATACTAATTAATCGATAGTATAAATTGTAAATTAAATAAATAACCAAATTATTAATAATTTAAATGAAATATTATAATTATTCATATTTCTATTCTGCTTTTTGATATTTTTTAATATTAAATTAAAATTTAAATAAAATAATAATATATAAAAAAATAATCATTAACATTCATAATAAATATTCATTCAATATTTTAATTTTTTAATTATAATATACATTATATAGAAATTTTTTATTCTATATGCTTTCCAATATCATCGAAAACCCAACTAGTCCAATTCGACCATTGCCGGACCCATACAGGAGACGGGTCTCCCAACACCATTTTCTCCATTTACAGGATTCTAAATCAGGACATTTGAACAAACTCCTTACCATTTCAATCAGTTATTGTTGGTAATTCTTTTATTTCTATAGTAAATATACAATTATTAAAAAAAATTATAATATTATACATATACAATAGTCAAAGACCGAACGTTCCAAACCAGCACAAGCACAACATAAGAGAATCAAATGGGTTTGTGTTCCAGTAGCAAATGCAAGAAGCAACAGCAGGAAGCGATAATGGGCAACAACGTACAGCTTGAATCAGAAAATAGCACAAGCACAACGAAGAGAACGCAATGGGCTTCTGTTCTTGTTGAACCCGCAACAAAAGCGAGAAGAAACAGCAGGGATCAGCAGCAGATGCATCTCAGAGTTCTAAAAATAGGAACACAAATGGGTTAAAAACTGGGTTAAGGCCAGGTCTAGTGTCGGGTACATTGTGGGATTGCCCCGACCTCAGATCTCTCATGATTATACACAGCAATCCTATGCTATCCAAACAATTTGCAAACCAGCAAATGAACAGGATTGTGAGGCAGACTAAAACACATAAAATTGTGCAATCCTACAAGCTTAATCACAATTTTCAACCATGGGTAACACGCTGCTTCTCTTCAGTATCTCTGGCGGCCAGATTTATGAACTTTGTGACATAATTAGGATTGTGCATCCGCACTTAATATTTAACCCCAGACGTTGAATATCACAAGTTACTACTCTGAAATCCCCGATGATTGTGCCACCAAGATTATGATATCCTAGATATACTCATAAGCCAATACCGTTTGGCGCAAGGTGATTAGCTGTTCATATACGCTGCCCAAATTTCTTCCCCCAAATCTTTGTATCATAGACGCCAACAACCTTTCTTAGATCAAGTCCTGCGACTTCTTCCTAAAGCAGTGAACAAGTGCATCATCAACCTTGTAAAGAACCAATTCAACCCAAAAGCTTAAATTAAAGGGTGAGGCTACATTAATGGTTTTATACTTCTCTAACACGCTCCCTCACACGAAAGCCTACTAGGCATGGAGGGTGGACAATGCATAGGCCCATCTACCTGTGCTAAGAAATTCCACAAGAGAAAGTGGGGATTGGTGAGGATCGAACCCGTGACACTGAGGCTCTAATACTACGCAAAAAACTAATTCAACCCAAAAGCTTAAGCTATTAAGTGAAAGACCATCAATGGTTTATATACATCTCTAACACGCCCCCTCACGAGAGCCCACTGGGTATGAAGGGTGGACAATACACAGACCCATGTACCTGTGCTAAAAAATTCCACAAGAGAGAGTGGGGGGTAATGAGGATCGAACTCGTGACACCGAGGCTCTGATACCATATAAAGAACCAATTCAACCCAAAAGCTTAAGCTATTAAGTAAAGGTCCATCAATGGTTTATATACTTCTCTAACAAACCTTTCCTAGGTCAAGTCCTGTGTCTTCTTCCTCAAGAAGTGGAACCAATGCACCGCTGATCCTTCCATGTTTACAAATGCGAGTTCACTAACATATTCATTTTTATCTATTGCACCTCGAAGAAAATCTCTGCATGAGAAGTCAAACCCATCAGGTCAATGCCATAAAGTTTGGCTATTGAATCTTTCTTTCCCAAGACAGTGATTAATCAAAGAAGGCTCCGAATCATGCTCAGCGCTCTCTTTATTCAGTTGTGAACTTTTCGTCTAAAAGTGGGTCATTGATAGTCTTCTTCTACCTCAAAGCTAAGCCTTGTTTCTTCATCCACTTTCCAATACTTGTCAAGTTACTTCTATACCATGCATATTCTTCCGAATCTCCACCACACTAGAATCCAGAGAATGTAATTGCACTCCATGATTGCTGGTTGTTTTCCTCAAGAACACTGCCAATTTGTCCAAAGCTTCTATCCTCAATTCCATATAATTGCCAATAAGAGATTCGAAAAGTCAGACAACAATAGTGTTGACACAAGAGAAAGAGAGATGAGAGATAAAGAAGAGAGAGAAAGAACAGTCATGTGATGATAGATTGATTGACAAACAGAAAAAGAAGAGAATCCTACTTTCAAGGCTTTCCCCTCCTATGACCAAGCTACTGCTCGATTTCCCAATACTAACGGATCTGAATGAATCCTCTTCTACCCCTCTCCTACTATTTAAGCTAAGCCCTAAGCCCCTGTTCTTAACCTCTTAACCACCTAACCAATTCTATAACTACTCAAATTGCTTTGTCTCATTTTCCTTTACTCTTCTGACCTGGGACCCATCAACTTCAGTGATAATCCAATAAAATCCTAAAAATACAAGGAATAAAATTTCTATTAAGAAAAGAACCTCAGTATTTAAAACATCATGATGAACACGACAACACAGTTCCAAAAGATATCACAAGTTCATAACACTTCCTCTTGAACTGGTAGGAGATACACTATCAGTATTCTAATTGCTAAAATTTTGTTCCTGAATCTTATACACAGCTTTCGTATGATGCTAAAGGAGCAATTGGAGGGAGTCAATAAAAAGAAAAAGATCTTTCAAGATGAATTTTCCGTGATGGATTGTGACAAAGATAATTTAATATGTCCTTCAACCTTGGCACCTTTCTTTTATATGTAATATTTGCATATAATTACCTTGAATTGTAGAGAACTGTTGATAGCATCACTTACAAGCTCCCAGTTTGGACCCATATCATGAACCAGGACAACTAGAGCCTGCAAAATAAAGGAGAATAGAGATAAGCCTTGTCACAGTGATAGAACTAGAAATATCTATTCCAAAAAGGACATAGGAATAAATTAGAGATAGCTAATCAACTACAAACAACCTGCTCTTCAAAAAGTGACCAGGGGCTTCCAGAACCAGGCTGCCCAGCAGAAATCTGTAAGAATGAAAATAAATAAATCAGTATGGTGACAAATGAAAATTTGCAAGAACAAGACCATCTCTAAGTTCACACCAAAATTACCTTCAGGGATTTGGTTTTCCTGCCCCTATCTCGCCCACTAATGATTCTAATAAATTTGCTTGGATTGGGCATGTTACTCATTTGCGAAGCAGCTGGGGAGGGAATAGAATTAGTTATTGGAGTAATATTGTCAAAAGCATCAAGTGATTGCTTCATTGTCTTTGGCTTCTTCACATTATGATGCCCATACAGACCTTCAGAACAGGACAGTTAAATATGTAAAGCATGAATCGTAAACAAAACAAATTTCTAAATACATAATCACATTAAAAGGTGTCTTACCACCACTTCCATTGGATTCAAAGTGGTGACTATCCAATCTCTTCTTGTAATGATCCCTCTGCATTGTAAGGACATTAAGACACCATAAGATAAATATTGCAGAAAATATTGTGAATAAATAAATAGGAGAGGAAAAAATTAATGTTCTCCAAAGTCTAATCTAAAGCAACATTAAGAAAACAAAGATAAATATTGGGAATTTGGAAGTGGTCCAAGGCACACAGAATGTCATAATAAGTTTCTAATGTATCAATAAGAAAACAAAGATGGACAGATTCTTTCTATTGTACCAAAAACAGAAAATACTTTGGATCTGTTTTTTACCATACGTAACACAACCAGCTCCAACAACCCCCTTCCCAAGGCCAATATATATTTATATGGAGTTTAGAACTTAGAATGTTTACAAGGTTGTTGTATTTCTATTTCTAACCAATAATACAATTTCTGATGATTTTTTACTTTTAGAATCCTAAAATGGCTTGTACGATTTATTTGATAAGGTCTGGCTTTTTTGTTGTGCACAATCTAAAAGTATATAGCTTTTGACTGGGTGATCTTATTTTTGGAAGGGAACATAGCTATGCTGAAATATTATTTTTTTATATGCATATAATAAAACACTAACATTTACAAAAATAGAAAACAAAGATTTCAGCAGAACTTCATTCCCTTCCAAACAAAAACCAACCAGTTATATACTTTTAGATTGTGCACAACAAAAAAGCAAGACCCCATCATATAAATTTTACAAGTCATTTTAGAATTCTAGATGTCAAAAATCATCAGATATTGTATTATCGGTTAGCAATAGAAATACAACAACCTTGTAAACATTCTAATTTCTAAACTCCATATCTCATCTCGCCATTATTACCTCTTATATCCCCAGGTAACAACATCCAACAAGCTTATATAGTAGAAATACAGGCACCAAATTTAAAATGAAATAGGTACTATCTTCCCAATCTCAGTTCAGTTCAAAGAAATCAAAATTCATAATCTTCGACAATTTCTCTGACCTCCCCAAATTAGATTAGAGAAAATGGAAGCTTTCAATTTCCAATCAAGATTTGCATCCATTAAACACTTGTGCGGCTGTTCTCAAAAAGAAATAAATGCATAATTAACTGAAGATTGGCTAGTATGGAAGGGGGGTTAATTAATAAGCTTTCTTAACCATGCCTGCATGTTCAAAATCCCCCAAGTACTCTAAATCGGGAGAACTTTAAAATTCTCATAATTTCTTTCGTTTTTAATGTTTCTCATATTGTAGGAGATAAAACTATCTCCTACACACATAAAAATATGTGGGGCCTAATTTTTCTCTTTCTCTCTCTTCTCTTCAATGGGTCACACACTTTTATGCGTGTACCCCTTTTTTTTCTGCATGTGGTGGTTGATGGGTTACATGATAATCCCCCATTCCCCTCTCTTATGTAACCCCACTATCATAGCACATGATGTAAAGATTTCACATTAAAACAATATCATTTTAAAAACAGCATATTTATAATTTATGCCAAATTATACAAAGTTAGAAACTTAAGTTTAGTTTCATCTTGTCCAAAGGGGAAGATTGGCATCATGGCAAGGAAATTTTATTACAAAAAATACCTGTTCACTTGGAACAACAGAATCCAACTGCCATCCCTGATCATATGCAGAACCCTGTACAAATAATTGTTAGGCAAAGTGGAAACACATTTATCAAAAATAAATTAAAAAAAAATACAAATGTCTCAAAATGATAAAAATTTTGTTTACCAGAGTCTTGGGCTTCTTCTTCTTTGTTTTAACTGATGTTTCTCCACAGTCATAAGGTAACTGCTTTTCAAAATCTCCAACTGACTCAACCTCCACACTTTTCTGGATCTGTGATCCAACATGTAAAGGACTCTCGTCATCCTGAAAGGAATTGGTATCCCCGCTCGAAGCATCTGTCTTAGCTTGAACCTGTACTGCCCCAGTGACAACTGCAAAAGGACTCACAACTCTATTATGCCTAGAAGCAGTACGCATGCGTTTTGTTGGTATTGTCCCAACATTTAGACTAGCAGGCCTTTTTCCAAGTAGCATGGATGGCTGAGTTCCACTTGAATAGTGTGAGTAAGGCAAATCAGTTCCAACTTCACTAGACCTATGAGTGTAAGACTTTATCCTGTTTTTGTGTTTCTTGTGTACAGATTTTGATGATCTGCTACCCTCATAGACACCAGGCAAACGATAAGTGCTGGTTTCTCCTTCATCCTCATCGTATGCAATCTCTTCAGACCCAAACTCTACATATAAATTTAAAAATGAAAAACAAATCATCATAGATTCAAGACTGATCAACTATGCACATAAATAATCTAAATAGTCCCAACAGTACCTGCTGCAGTATCATACATAGATGTTTCAACTTCCTCTTGAATGCTACTACCAGTTTTCTGAAATATTTTATTTTATTAGCACCAATAAGTTAGAAACAAAACATATAACAACAAGGTTATCACCAAAATACCTTAAAATCTATAAAACTTAAACACCATTCATATGAAGCACTATACCATCCAGGAATGCATACGCTAGTATAATTAGAGCATATACGATCCTAAATTTACCTCACACTGTAGGAAATGAGATTCAACAGATTTTCTGTATGCATCCATGGCAGTAGGAGGAACTGTATAGAAGAGACTTTCCTGAATATTAAAAATACAGCATGCAAAAGGGGGTTAAAAAAAATTGATTATTATAACAAACTAATAGCAAAAGTAAACCACAATATCATCTAATAAATCATATTGAAACAGCCACATTAAGTGCACTTCAAAAACAGCATTTTGATTTAATTGACACAGTGAAAATAAACTTGAGAGAGAGATGGGTCAGCAACGTACAAAATTAATAAGCTAATCAAACAAGAATAAGGTAACTTGGTCCATACTTCTGTAAGATGATCCTCCCATGACATGTCAACAGTGCCAGAGTCAGATATCTTCTCAGGTGTTGTCGGTCCATCTGCTTGAGAGGAAATTCCATGAGATCTACTATCCTTTAAGAACCTCAAAGCATACATACGCACTTTAAGTGCCGCCTTTTCTCTGGGATTTTGTCCCTCCAAATATTTGCTTGACTCCTGGGCAAAAACACCAACACTCAAGCATCAGTAACAAATAGTTGATAATGTAAAAAAATTAGTTTAGAAAGTTAAAAAATAATCACACAAAAAAGTGTCCCAAATCACCTAGATCATAATCATAACAAAAACATTCAAATAATGCAATAGTTATGAACCTTTGATATGCAACTAACTAATGCAAAAAACAAGCTGCCGAAATCATACAAACATGCATTAGCAAGGATGACAACCATGCCCCCACACAAAAAGGCAAGAATATGATAATTAAAATTAATACACGAAGCACAGAGAATGAACAACTCTTAAACTAAATTTTCAAGTAATGCTAAAAAATTCAGACGAAGTCTCCAAATGCAAATAATAAGAAGATATAGTGCATTCCGAAATTTAGCATTCCAGTGTTAGGGCCTAAATAATAGGAATACCTAATTGCACCAAGCATAATAAAGTCCATCCATTATTGCACATTTATTTAACTCAACAGCCAATATATAAAACAAATCAACAATAAAACAGAACTCAAACAACAACACCATCTTTGCATATTTTATATAAAATTACCATGAAGAATAACATCTAAGTAGCTCTTTCAAGTGCGGTCACAAAATACATATCTAAAGCAAAACACATGTTATCAATAGGAAAATTTTCTGTAACATCATTTGACTCCGAAAGGAATATTTTCTTGACACAAACTAATTAAACAAACTAGTACTCATATAACAATGAAGTCCTATCACCACATTGGCCAAAGCAGTGGCCAATAGAGAAGGATCACTTTTTTTCTTGGATGAAATAAAAGGTCAAAGTAAATAACCAGCACCATATCAAAATTTCTCCTCATGTCCCCAGAAGCTTCAATTGAAACAACTTTCCCGGATTCAACTGAACCACCAATGCAGTTACGGTCAGGAACATCATTGTCAAGAAGAAGCTCAACAGAATGCCAAAACTGCATGACAGCCTTTGCCATGTTGTGAGACAAAATTTTCATCCCTAAATGCTTGTTTTGTTTTTCAAATCTTAACCGAGAAGTAAAAGATGCCTGATGACACAATTTTGCAGCAGCAGTTATCTTCCATAGACGCTCCTACAAACACATTTAGGAGTGACAAAAGAATGTATTAAAAGTCAAATATCACTTAAATTTAATAAGGATTAGCATTCTTGATGTCCTTAAAAGAGAAGGACCCCACCACAGAAGTGAGGGGAGAACAAGGAGTCACTAGGGGGACTAGAAAATAAAACCTGTGCAAAATCATTTGCCAACCATGCCATTTCCTCAAGGACAAAACCCCAATGAGACATTTGGTGGATCTGTGTTGGTAACGTGCGAACAGATAATTGTGCAATCCTCTTCCGCTTGACCTGTTTCACATATGATATCAGAACTTTATAGTTTACTGGACAAACACCCAAAATTTATGAGCAAAACAGTCACTAGAAATAAAAACAAAAATTGAAGACCTCAATAATTCGAGCCTCTTCTAAAATAGAATCTTCATGAGCCTTGTCTGCTAACTTCAACTGGTGCATAGAACATGGTTGACAGTCAGACGCAACAGTAGTAACCTTTTCAACCAGAGCAGTGTGAAGAGTTGCTGAAAGTGATACATCCGAAGGAACTTGAAGCCTTTCACCGCCGTCTTCTCTGATAGAATTGGAACGATCCACCAAGACAACATTTTCCTCTTTATCAGCTTTTGATATGGTACTGTCATTGTGATGCAGTCCCTTACTATTGGAAGAATCCTTCACCACATTTTGCATGCAAGAACTATTAGTATGGATGTCTTCCTCAATTTTGACCATACTACCACTACCAGAATGCTTTTGATAACCAGCAGTAAGTTCATTGTTAACAGTACCATCACTTTCACCAGTGTTGATCTTACTCTTTTCTTTTACAACTTCACAGCCAGTTAAATATAGTTTCTTCTCAAATTCTGATGTTTGTTCCATAGCATTTCCATTTGCATCAACATTCTTTGTAATAGTACACATATCACTATCGTTATTTACATCTCTAGCTAAAATAGTTTGTGTGCAGGAGGACTCCGAGTCAAAATTCTTCATGCCCACTGCAGCACTGCTATTGCCTTCATTTGGTACACCTTTCCTGTCTACTTTAATATTGCCAAACCCATTTGGCTGACCAGAACAAGATTCATTTCCAGGTTGTGTAGTAGCTACACAAGGTGAGGGCTCAATATCACATGAGGCTCCTGGGTCCCTTTCTTCAACCGCGTTAGCTTCCCCAGAAGCCGAGACAGGTGGTTTTTTTACAGTATCATCATGAGAAGGTAGAATACATTGACCTTCTTTGAAGTTTCTATTCAAGGTAATATCTAATTTGTCTTCAGGAATGCTACCACTGCCACTAGCTGTTTGATGAGTACGGAAACTAACCAATTCATTATCCAGTAGATTATTAGATATCGGTTCTTTACTAAGTATCTCACCATTTAAACTAGCAGGCTTTGGCTTAGACAAAGAAGGCACATTGTGGTCCTTTTGTTTGTTTGTATCAGATATTAATCCCTTCCCATCCCTTGAACCCCCCCGAGGACCATGATTTGGTCTGGACCTCCTTCGAGAATATGGACGGACAACAGCCGAATCTTCATTCTCCTTAGCATTTTGACTCCCACCAATTTGAGAAGACTGTTCTGATGGAGCAATATTATTCCTTTTTTTTGAATGCAGAGACCTTTTTTCACCTTCAGGCAACTCATTCTCACCATCAAAAAGTAAGAGGTTATCAGCAGTGTTTGGTTCACTGAGAGAAGGAGCCCCTGGTCTAGCACTACTGTCAACAGAGTCACCATGAGGGGAGGCAGTCAACACAAAACTACCTTTTGCTTCACTGAATCACATTGGAAAATAGAACAAGTGAAAAAAGCAATAAAGCATCATTAAGCGAATTAATACACAACAGATATCCATAAACAAGTAGCACATACAGGTGATAAAATAAAGGGAAACAAGAATAGAATACCCAACCTGGTCACAAACTGCTCTTGATGCTGATCAGTGAGTGATGTGGACTGAACACTAACTGAAGCAGCATTCCCTAACTTAAAGTCCAGAGGATTCCCGCCCTGCAATTACAAAGCACGGGTGATCATCATTTACATAGAAGTGTTGTTTACCAGAGTGCTTAAGATCAAATCTTTCATACTTTTTCAAGAAATTCTAGCTCCCTTCTTCTTTCTTCACGAAAATCAAACTCCTGTCTGTTATCAACATGCATGTGTTATTTTTTGTGCAGAAGATAACATCGGCACTCGAAAAACACAACCAAACAAATAATGCAAGTAAACAAAGAGTCTTCCCATCACCTGAGCTCTGCTTGAGCCTTCTGAATTGCTGCTCGGCGCGGAGAGGTTTTCAAACCTATACCAACTCCACCGTCAACAACACCTCCCATGGAATCAACCTCAGCATTTACAAGGAGAGCAGATTCTGAGTTGCATCCATGCATTCCCACCCTTAAAATCTACGAGCTTCACTTCCCATCTATCAAACGATCAGTCAACTTTGTAAAGAAAAGAGGGTAAATAAGACACAGATCCAATATACATAGAAGCTCCTAGGGCACAAAACTTCCTCGCCGGCCAAACATTAGTAATGTTAACAATATTTGGCAATCAAAGCACCAGACACACAGACATTAACTTCAAATACACACACAGAGACATATAAAAGAAATGTACTTTGAAATAATTAGTCTGAAATAGGTGACCTGCTTTTCAGCAAGATTTAATTCAGTATTTAAAAAGTTCCCACAAATTAAAAAGTCAACTCAACTCTCTATGCCAGGGTGTTAATTAGGATGTCTAAATGACAATCTTGAAAACAAGGGTTGCAATGTTCCATATTGATTAAATATGAAAGGGGAACAGGTGTACGAAACATAGGTTATGCAATTATTATGTATCAGGAAAGAAAACATTTGAATCGGGTGTATATTTCCAAGCTTTCAATATATAAACACCCTTACACTGCAAGCCTGCCTATCCTCATGTTATTATTAAATTAAATAATACAATACACTTCATTAGAAAAATGAGCAAGCAGATGATGATTTGAGAACATTTTGTGGATCAATATCATGCACAGTACTACCGTTAGGAATCTTTCAATAATTATACACTTGGTATCAATTCAATATATTCATCAAATGATAGAGGATCTATCACAAAAAGTAAAAATAAAATCCAACCAAACTCATTTGGTAATAGAAACTTGCATGTGATAATTTAGTTCCTTTATACTAATTGCTCATGTACCTTATCAGTCAAATAGATATTTCCATTTCTATTACAATTGAGCTTCAGACATTACTTTAGCATTGCAAAGGATATCTGCTTCCACTAGGTAGGTAACTGACATGTGATAAGAACTCCGCATAAGCCACAAGTTATATTACTTTCAAAAGATATGTAACCTAAGTAGAAAAAGTGAAAAACAGAGTTCATCTTTTTATGAAATCAACAAAAAATTTCAAACAACATGCTAGCAAATTTCTGCAACACAATGGATTAAAGATCATTGTTATGCTTTCCATAAGGCACCGGATTATATGAATCACTTAAAATATAAGAAGAATGTCCAGGTAGAAAGCAAAAAGGCAGCCCTCCTCCCCAAGCTATAAATGATTACACAGAAAGAAAAATCCACGACCAGAGAGTAGAAGCAAACTAGCAGCACACCACATACAATTTAGAAAGATACCAACTAAACTTATAGCAAAAACCTAAAAGCTTTGGTAGTTAATACGTGAAGTACTAGTCACTATACTTGTCAAAAAGTATATTTGGCAACTATTGCATGCATGAAAAGGTTGCCGCCAACGATTCCCTTCAAATTTTTAAACTGTCATCACCAGACACATATTTAAGCTTCAAATTACTACCTCCCCACTTAAACATTCGCATTCTGATTTGTTTCCCGATAAGGGTTAAAAAAATTCCCCTCCTTTAACAACATATTAATGCAGCAGCCCGTAAACAGACACAAACTCCAGGTACAAACCCAAAGCCATTCCATTTCGACACAATGCATAACACAGTCGCAACGAGAATCAACGTTGCACAATTCGCCCAAAAGTTTAAAACCCTAACCACACCCATTTCCACGGAATTTCCCCAATTCGTACAATTCTAGGGTTTCAGGGAATGCCAATAAAACAACAATTAAGCCAAGAAAAACACCTGAACGCGCTAAAGGGTCGTCGAAATTGGAAACTAGGGCACAATTCAAGGCCGTCCCACCTCAAAATTCTTCTCTCCTAGGGTTTTGGAAAAGGGGGCTTCCCTTTGTTCAACGGAACGATGGCGAATTTGCCCTAAAACCTAACGTTGGGCAAGAAATGTCAGCCATGGAAGATGGGTTCCCTCAGCGTTGGGTATGGAAGCGTGGCTGGAGCAATTGGGGTCGTGTTTCTCTCTCTATAAGTTGAAGAAGAAGGGTTGGTTTTGTTTATTATTGTTGTTGTTGTTGTTCGTGTTCGAGGTGAGAGAAAGGGGAACTATGCGACCTCTGCTAGAGTGGTGTGGGCTTTGGGGCATGAAGACGACGACGCACAGAGAAGGTGGATTTTGAGAAATTGGACGTACATTTTGGGCTTTTATTGCATTTTTCTTTCATGAGATGTGATTAAGTCAAAATTAGCTTTAATGGTTATAGTTTTTGTTTGTTTTGTGATGATATAATTAGGAGAGAGGCTTTGATCATTTGATTTGATTTTGAGGAAGATGGTGATATAATGCAAGTAAATTCCTTTGTTTGTTTTTTTTTATGTAATTTAGGTTCTTGTGTGCTCGAGATGATCTTTTCAAAACTGATTTTGAGTAAAGTTTAACAAGAAAATCGTTATGTTTTATTATACTTCATTGGAAAAATAGTTGTAAAGGATATTCATTTTAATTAAAATTATTGTCTTTTTTTTTTGGTACATAAAATTATTGTCTTTTATTTAAGGGAAAAGTTATATTTACAACTTATTTTCGTTTATAACTTCTTACAACCATTTCGTAACCGTTGATTTCCGCCAATCAACGGTTAAGATTTTTGCAAATCAAATTTATTAATTAATTATTAATTCACAATAAATGACAATCGTTGATTGACACAAATCAACATTTAAATTATGATTGTAAGAGTTTGTAAACTATTTGGGTTGTAAATATAACCACTCCCTTTATTTAATTTTTAAATTTAAAAAAGTCTCACTTTCTTGCAACGTGATTTTTGTTTTTCTCATCATAAAACATAATAATTTTGACTAAAATGACACAATTTTATGATATAGGTAAACTAATCACGTACTTTAAACACAGTTTAAGAGAAGACAAACGCTAATCACATACTTTATTAGTAAAACAAAATATGTTTTAGAGTGTTCGTAATTATTGTGATATATCATCTTTAGGAGATATTCAAATTGGTTCATAGCTTCGCGACTAGCCTAATTGTGGCTGGATCCCGAGATTAAGATTTTAAACCCCTCCCAGAAATAGTACCAGAGAAGATCGAACACATTCTCTAACCTAATACAATTTATAACCTTCATTTCAATGACTTTTTTAGCCCTGAGCTACAAATCTAAGAGAATTGTGGTTTAAGGTTAAGGCTAATACCATATTAACCATAACTAGTTGATTATTTTTTTACACGTGTATTTTCTCTCACACGATATTTTATTCTTTTCTTACTCTCAAATAATTTTGCTCTCTTTTCTTACTCTTTCTTGGCAACCAAATGCTTCAACCCCAATTATTAAGTTTCTTTAACCCCTAATTTCTCTCTCGCCAACGAGATTTGCACATAGTAAGTATGCAACACTTTTTTCCTCCCCTTTCTCTTTCACAAGTTATGTCTTTGTAATGAGCTAGATTGCTCATTGTGTGGTATGTTGAGGTAAATCCTTGTTTTAGAGGCAAATCCATAACTATATAAGTTAATATTATGCAAATTATTTGTTGGAGGATACTATAAAATTATATTAATTGTAATATTTGCTTTTATCTAGCATTCAAGATATTTAATTATATTTTTTAATACTAATTCTACTTTCAATTATAGGGTTTGTCCATGTATTGGTTAAGCGCATGTTCTTTTTTATCGTATAACATGGTCATGTCTAATATATTTAAGGATTAGTGTTCTTGAAAGTGTGCAAAGGTGGACTTTTTATCACATAAAGATCACCAATGTATGGTAAGACATGAATTTTTCATGTCCATAACGAGAAAAAATGCAACACTTGCATTGACCATGCATGCATCCCCATGGAAACAAAAACTCAATAGAATTTATGGGAAGACATAAAGCTCGTACTTTTGGCTCTTTAATGCAAGAAACTTTTTCTTGTATGGTTGAATTTCTTCAAGCTACTCTGATGGTGATCTACATTGTCTCTGCAATGGCAACGATGAATGCTTCACTTGTAGGGTTGAATCTCTCCAAGCTCCTCTAACAAAGATCAACACAATCTCCGCAAATAGCAACGAAGAATGCTTCTTCTTGACTCCCTGCAACCTTGAGTGATTTTTAGGCTATAGAACAAGGTACGAACTCAAGTGTTTTTGGATGATAGAAAGAGAGAAAAAAAGAAGGAGGCACAAAGGCAAAGGGAAAGGGTGAGGATTTGGAATCAAATTCAAAAAGGTTAGTGGAAAAAAAGAAAGGATAAACTTGTTTATGTAATGATAGTACCGTGCATCCTTGTGAGTAATGGAGAAGGATGGAAGTTAGCAAGTAGTGGTTTTAGTTGATAAATTATTAGTGATATTGTATGTTAGTAATATCGCTAATATATTAGTGATGTTGTTGCTAAATGAAGCATTACTACAAGTCTTTGGACTTTTTCAAAAACCAACCTATCATAAGTGAGGACAAGTTAATACGATAAAGAGAATAATGAACAATAACATAACTTTATTCCACTAGGTGGTATGGAGTTAAAATATAACATCAAATTACACTAACATTTATTTCTCTCTACCATGTCATAAGTAACCAAAAATTATGAATCATGAAAGTGGACAAATGAGCGCAAAGTTCTACTAATTATTGTGTGCGCCGCAGGAGTATGTTGCATATACTATTAATAAGAAAAACCAATCGGTGGATGACAATATCCAATATTAAATGACTAGTGGATAAACAAAAGCATATTTTTCAGTATAGATTTTTTGGATAAATTGTAACATCTGAAAATTTTCTCCAAATAAATGTATCTATTCTGAAAACACTTTGAATAAGATGACCAACATGAAGTAGAAACACGACACCAATTGTTAGGAATATGGCTTCCATACTCAAGAGGGGATGAATTGAGTTTTAAATTTTTTTCGCAAAAGCCCCATTCTAGTTTCTAAATAATCATTTCAAGCAAACTTTGATATATGAAAATTTAATTAATACATTCAAACAATCTATAACATATAATATAGGGATCTATTAATCTCATGTTGCATGAGATAATTATCTCATGCAACAGAGACAAGATAATGGGGTCCACCATTTGTAAAAAAAATAAAAAATAATATGGACCCCACTACTTTATCTCTGTTGTATGAGATAATTATTTCCCTATAATATATCTTAAATATAGAATATATGCTAGCATATACAAGATATCAAAGAAATAATTAAAGTGCTAAAAATAAAGAGTTTAGAGTTTAGAGGATTACAAACACGATATATCATGGTTCGGTCACCACCACTTGTGAGCTACGTCCAGACTGAAGCCACTAATGGTTAAACTTCATAGGTTCTTGATAAACCGCTACAATCTTTCAAGACTTCAAGTTCTTGGATACCTTACAACCACCAAGTTTAAGGGTACTTGGCAACCTTTACAATTCTCTTCAAATTTCCCTAGATATTTGGCTACCTTTCAAACTTAATAGGTTTCACAACCCTTTCAACTCATGTCTGCAAGAATAAAATGTTTGAATAAGGATTTACAATCTTGAAGTGTGGATAATATAACTTGAAGTAATATGGGTATATGAATTTTCAAGACATGAGCTTAAATATGTATATCTTTGAAGAGTAAACACCATTTTTGGTCCCTAACAAAAAACGCGGTCCCCACTTTAGTCCCTTACAAAAATAAATTAGTCAGTTAGTCCCTAACAAATTCAAAGCGAACCCATTTTGGTCCTTTTGAGGGACTAATATGGGTCTTTTTTGAATTTGTGATGGACCACAATTTCAACTAAATGGGTCCACTTTGAATTTGTTAGGGACCACGTGTGTAGCGGCTTGTCTGACATTAAGGACACAATCACGTATAGATAGGTCATCGGATGTGTTCCACACACGAGTGGAAATGTGTTTCTCCTGCAACGTGAGTGAGGAGAGAACAGTCGGATGGACCAAGGTCCATGAAACTTTGGTGTGGGTCGTGCTGCTCCATGGATCTATTTACAACACAAATTATATTACAATTACAACATTATAATATATAAAAAATAAATACTACTTACTAAGAAATAAATAAAAATCAAACATTATTTAATTATTCTATAATCCATAAATAAATAAATATTAATAATAAAAAATAACAACATTAATATACATAGCACAATTAATATAATTAAATAATACATAATTTTATTAAATAATGCATAAATAATATGACACAATTAATATTATTAAAAAATAATATGATACAATTACTAATTCCTCTAACCTAAGTTGTCTACCTATAAATAAATAATATTATTAAATCTTATCAAATATTGCATAATCAAAATTATTAAATACAAAATTTAACAACATTAATATTAAAAATTTCTAACCTACATTTCAACCTATAACTAAATAATGCATAATGAACAATTTATTGAATACAAATTTTAACAACATTAATATACAATTCTCCTACCCTATGTTTTCAACCAATAACTAAACAATATGGCACAATTAATATTACTACTTAATGCATAATTAAAAATTATTAGATGCTTGTTATAAAAAAAAAAAATTATTAGATGCTAAATTTAACAACATTAATATAAAAATTTTATAACCTAAGTTTAAGCCCTATAAATAATATCAAATAATTAATATTATTAAATAATACATTAATATAAAATACTAAACCTAATAACATTAACATATATATTCTATCCTATTTGTCACAATTGTGTCTTCTAACCTAAGATTTCATCCTACAAATAATAATTAACATTAATTAAATAAAACTAAAAAGCTGTAAAACAAATAACTTGAGAAATTACTAACCTTAAATGTAGAGAGAAAGACACAATGAGAGAGAAAAGAACAATGAGAAAGAGATAGAGGAGTTGGGTGGGCGTGGGGGGGGGAAGGGGATTATAAAGGCTGCCAAAAGTAGCCGTTGCACCAAGTTCGTTGCCCACCCCAGCGAACTTGGTGCATGTCTGCCATGTCGTTACATGTAGTTCGTTGCAGTGGGCAACAAATTTCATTGCATGTCTGCCACGTGGCGTGGCAGGTTAAAACGTGCAGGGGCATTAATTGAACCAAGTTCGCTACCTGGAGTTGCGAACTTGGTGTCCACTAGGAATGTGACACATC